ACACACACACACACACACACACACACACACACACACACACACACACAGATAACAAGGCTTTGCTCACATCAGGGTCACGTTCAAGCCAAAAACACTTCTCTAAACCTGGGATACAAAAACAGACCGTAATACTCTACAATGGTATGATCTTCCTCTCTGGTGTTCCAGAAGTGCAAATGAGTATTTATGTTTAAAATTGTATATATTGGAAATTATGTTAATTCATTATATATATTTAGTGCATTCATAATTTTGAAGGAAGTGATTTTATTGTTTAAATGTAGTTACTAGTTTTGTCAAAAAAAGATACAGATTATATTTGAATGCCAACTATTTAGACAGATGCACAGATAACCCTAACCCTGAAGCTGCAATGATTATTTGATTAATAATCAATCAGAAAATAAATAATACATATGCAAAAATGGCAAAAGTTCACTGGTTTCAGCTCCTCGAATGTTGTTTTTTCTGGTTTTCTTAGTTTTCTATGATAGTTAACTGAATAGCTTTTGACTTTAGGATTTTTGGTCAAACAAAACCAAAAATGGTGATTGTTTGACAATGAAAATAATTGTCAGCTAAAGCCCTGTTATGGAAGTAAAACATAGTTCGGAGAATCACATTATGACTGTAAATGTAAAGCAAAAGTCTACATGTGATGTGTGTCCTTCATAGCGGGCTTCAAAAAGCTGTAACTGTTTGTACAACGTCAAAGCTTCAACAAACGCTCCTAATGGATTTCCTTCAGACAAAAAAAAGAACAGAAGAAAGTCTGACGACATCACAGCGGTGCCGAAATCCCAGCTCCTCCCACGTCCTCAGTGCTTTTCTGGTGGAACATGAGCGGTCCGCTGCCGACCAAGATGGCAGGTTTAAATTTAGCATGACGAGGGCGAGCCGGGCTTTGATGTCCACTTTTACTGTACATTCAAGCGGCTGACAGATTCTGTTCACGTCCACCCTGGGCTGCTTGAAATCAGTCAGTCAGAACAAATAAAGTCTAAATGTCCATACAGTTTGACACCCACGCTCTCAAGACGGGACTAGTCTGGCATTAACGTCAGAGATATAGACGACCAGGGAAATGCACAGCTCTAGACCTCCAGTAGGTTGCAGGGTGAATTATGTATATATACACAGACACAAACACACTGCTTGTTGGCGTCTATAAGCACAACCACAGTCAGGCACACACATTTGCTTTGTCACAAGTGAACAGTGAGTCTCCAATACGCAGCTGCTGTATCATCTGACCAGCTGTGGCCAGTGGTGGAAGAAGTATTCAGATCCTTTACTCAAGTTAAAGTATCAACACTGCACTGTACAAATACACCAGCACAAGTAAAGGTTTACTGTTAAAAAAAATCAACTTGTTTGAATTAATAGTTTTTGTACATTTTAGGAAATAGGCTTTCTGACTTGGAGGTAAATGTAACAGTGAGGATTGGTGCTACTTTCATATCTGTCCGTCAAATAAGAAGTTTCCAGTTTTTGTGCTAAGCTAGACTAGCTTCATATTTGACCCAGAGACAGGAGAGTGGTATCGATCTTCTTATCAAACTCTAAGCAGCAAAGAGGCATTTCCTGCATTGTCAAACTATTTGTTGAAGACATGTGAGAATCTTGAAGGAAGGCAGAATAAGGGGAAAATGACGCCTTATTCTCGAAATTCCATGAAACAAATTGACTTCCATTGAAATGATGTCTCTGCAATGGCAGATGTCTTCACTTGTTTTTATAAAATAAGACTTTCAGGACTCTGTAATAGACAAAGATGAAGATTTCTGCAGTGTGTGCAGTATGGCATGTGTTTATCTACAAAGTAACTAGTAGCTACTACCGATATCAAGTACCTCTGGCTATGGCTAATGTACTTTTCCGCACCTTCCCGAGGGGCTCCAAAGGGCTCATGTGTAATATCCGGGGACGATTCAGCTTCTGAGATGGTTGTGGCGCTCTTTGATTCACCTTCAGCTTCAGTTTCACCCCCCGCTTCAGTTTCAGCTTCACCCTCTGTCTCGTCTTCACCTTCAGTGGCAGTAAATGTTCAGCAACACAGGTAAAAAAACGTGGATTGACAAACAAAAAGTGAATCCGTGGGAACCTGAAACTGAACCACTAAACTCATTATCAGCCCATTAGAAAGCATCATTTGTCTCTTTGATAAATCCTACCCATTATTTTGTCTCTAATTGTGAGAGGAGACCTTTTAAAAGCAGACTTCTGCAGTGCAGTCCAATTGCTCAGTCTATCCATGCATCAGCCTTTTACTGTCCGGCCATGTGGAGAACAGCCCAGTGCTGTCAGGGTTGATGTTGCCACTTTGCCGATCGTTTCTGTCTAACAGCTCGGAGGCTGAGAGCCTCTCCAAAGAGAGAATCCCTAATCAAATTCCCTTTTATTCCTGCCTCCCAGAGCTCCTCACCCGGATTCACACTGCATTACAACACTATATGCCCACATCCTTCTCTAGCATTTCTCTGTCTGTCTTTTCTCTCTCAGTTCCTTTTGCTGCTCCATCCAACACCCATCCTCCCCCCCTTCTTCAATCCACCCGCAGCAGCAGTGTCTTTAGTCTAAATAAGAAAAGCAGAGCTGTGGAAGAATTCGTCCTGTGCAGGTTAGTGTGATGTGCTGTGATGAAAGGACATGGCGACAGAGAGGCCTATTAATAATAAAGCACACAGGGCCCATGCTGCAGCACTGCGAGAGGAGATGCAGGAAAAGAGAAGTGACTGAGTGGAGAGCCAGCTGAACATCACAGGAGAGAGGGAGAGTTTAGGAGACGTGCAGGAAAAGCGAGGTACGGGGTTAAAAGCTTACATTTCAAAAACAATGCAACAAAAAAGGGGGAGGAGACAATGCAGGAAGAGAGAGAGAGAGAGAGTGTGGAATTCCACCTCCTCTGCTTTGCATTATTACTTACTGGAACCGGAGGGGGAACCAGCAATTGTACCTGAAAGAGAATAAGAAGAGGGAGGGGAGATGAGAACTTGTTTATTTATGCATTCAATTTGCCTAAAGACTTGACTGTGCCTCATTCATCAGACTCAGGTGGCAGAGAGAGCTTAAGAGCTGTTCTGCAAAATAACGGTTTGTTGGAGACCACCTCTCAATGTCCCGGAGTAATTACTGGGCTTGCACCGCCTCCCCCATCCTCCCTAATTTGCCCCGTTACTCTTCCCCCAAAATCCTCACATTCAGAGGGTCCTCATCATATATGTATGTTTTAAGAGAGCGCTGCCACTTTGCAACGCTTGAATCAAAAACGTTATGCCTTCCCTGCATGTTTACCAAGATTGTATTTATAGTTAGGTTAGCTTGGCATGCATAATGCAGTCCGTGGAGACCAAACTGTTTCGTGAGCCATGGCCATTTTGTGTACGATTTCAACCGAGCATGTTTTTAATTTTTAAATTCCACTAATGGGATTTAGGAGTTTAAAAGGGTGGTGATGTGCTCTGAAGTTGTGTATCAGCATTAGAACTGGGTTGGAAGCAACAGCATGATTTACAAAAAAAGGGCTGACAATAGAGCCATTCTTTGCAGTGTGTGTGTGTGTGTGTGTGTGTGTGTGTGTGTGTGTGTGTGTGTGTGTGTGCAGGTACAGGTGTATGTGAGTGTGTATCTGCCTGTGTTTCTCTCTGTGTACATGCGAGTGTGTCAGTGTTTGTTTGAAAGGAGAAAACTAGGGAGGGGCTGCCCTAGATTATTATTTTATCATAGCTAGCTACTGTAGCTGGCTACAGTCTCCGAGAGGATTTCCCCCCCACGCACTCCCACGTTGTAGCACAGCTCTGATCTGCTCTCTGCATTGAGGAGACGACAACTCGGAGAACTCAGTCTCTCCATCGACTTCTCTCAACTTGTACCCTTGATCCTGCCTTTCATTCAGGACCTCATGACAAAACCCACAACATGAATCAAGTATACTGGAAATCACTGCATGTATATTTGTTTTGAAATAGAAAATGGAATTTTATGATCAGTCAACTCTGATTAGAAAGATTGAAATGAATTGCTTTGATGCCACAGATTCGCAATAATGCAAGTAAAATAATACAACAAAAGAAAATACACAAAATACTTAACAATTAAATCAATAATATTTTGTTATTGTGAGAGGCTAAAGTCGAATATAGTCCCATTCTTTGCTCTCTAAAAGACACTGGACAATGTTTCAAATGTTTTCTGTACAGGAGCTAAATGTGACCCACTATCAGCTAATGGGACACAAAGCTAGCATTAGCATAAGCATCAGCGGGGCTAAACTACCAGCAATAACCGCTAACGGAGCACTAAGGTAACATAAAATAAGCTGGGCTTAAGACTGCAACATCAGCTCTGCAACCCGTAAATGGAGCAGCTAGCAAGCGCGGCGTTTCTCTTCAGTGAAAAAGATTATTCGCTTTCATTCCAATAGATAGAGATTGATATCACCCTCATGTTTGTACGGTAAATTAGAAGCTACAGTGAGCAGCCAGGTAGCTTAGCTTAGCATAAAGACGGGCTCTTTTACAGTACAACAAAAAGCTCATGAATTAATACGTTTTGTCTCATTTGTATAATTTGTACAAAAACCAAAGTGTAAAGAGGACAATTCACGTTTTACCCGGGGTTATGTGCTTGACCGTTTCCAGCTGACACTTCAGGGATAATGAGATATAATATGATCCTCGTGAGCTTTAGAGGTGCTGGTTAGAGAATTTTACCTCCCGACAGACGCAGGCTAGTTGTTTCTCTCTGTATTTATGGTACTAACCTCAGAGTAATATCAATCTTCTCATCTAACTTGTCTTTTAAATGCAGAATAAATCATCCTAAATCTTCAGCAGAGTCTAGGCTCCTCCCGGGAAACATTTTTAATTGTTGCAACTTCGATCAATTAATAGTCCTATCCATTAATACAGTAAAGCAAGCTGACAAAAAAAGCCAAGGCAAATGTAAAGAGTCAGGAGTATGATCAACAGAATAGCATGTTTTAGGTACGTACAGGTGTTGGGGGTTCCATTGGGTGTTGGCAGGTAGGAACCAGCCTTCCAGGACTTGGCTTTGAAGCCCTTCTTGCAGCGCTGGCAGTCCTGGCCCGTGGTGTTGTGTTCACACTGGCACTGGAGGTTCCCATCCTGCAGCAGGCACTGGGAGGCATGGAGGTTACACTTACACCTTTAAAAAAATAAATAAAAAAAGGAGTACACAGATGAGATGAGAGAGGCAGAAAGCGAAAGTTGTAATCACACGCTGGTTGTAAGTGTTAATGATGTTAGAAATTAGTGTATTTGTACACCAAGGAGACAAAAAAAAGACAAGTGCAAATAGTGAGTGTTAAAGGTCTGGTGCAGAGATGGGACACAAAGATTAAACAAGATTAAGATCATAGGATTAAGGTACGTAAGGTTCTAAGTAGTTTGTTGTTTACTGAGTAGCGAGGTAAACTACACTGCACACCTGACAAAGAGAAAAAAGTAAGACGTGCGTGTGTGAGCGTTTGTACCGTATGGGTGCTGTTATGGGTGTAGTGTACACTTACAAATGCACCAGTAAAATGTTGCCGAAATGAGGATTGAAACACACTAAGAAATATAAAGATGCAATGCCATCAAGATTAATTGGTGTAAATACATTTATATAAAGAAAACAATGATTTTTCTTTTGGTCTCAATTTCAGAAGTGTCACGCAAAGCTACAGCACCCATTTGTATTCTGTTTGCTTGAGCAGTTTGTACAGTTGCATCTGATTCTCTATAATTTGATTTCACCAACAGCTTCTCTGTATCTACACCTAAACTGAGTAAAGCATCAAAAAGGAATCAAACTCTTTTTACTAAAGTTCTTCTGAAAGTCAAAAGTCCAGATTGACTGAACGTAGAACTGAAACGTTTAATTGATTCATCAAGTAGTATGAGCGCAACCTCGGCTGGTTCCTGTATGTTTTGTGTCTGTTGTTTTTTGATATGTTTTATTGTGATGTTATCCTTCCCCATTTGTACTCTTATATGACATTTTTTACTTGCTGCCCATCTTGACCAGGACTCCCTGGCAGAAGACATATTGTATCTCAATGGGTTAAATAAAGGATAGATAAATAATCAATAAAATCAAGCTTGTTGCTTCTCCTTTTTCTCAAGATATCTGGAGCACAGGGACACAAAGCAGGATGTAAAGTGAAAAAATAATACACTTTCAAAAGTTGAATGCAAAACACTGTCGGTCCAAGATTGTTGGTAATCTATTTTCCCGGTCATTTTGGAACAAATTGTTGTTTACAATTACTGCCTGTGAAATTCAAGTATCTGTCTGTGTGTGTGTGTGTGTGTGTGTGTGTGTGTGTGTGTGTGTGTGCACGAGTGTGCGTGCACGCATGAACATAATGTGTGCGCAGTGCGACCGCGGCAGAGGGCAGGGCCCAGGTGGGCTGATCCAGAGGTTGTAGCTCGGCTGGGAAGGAAATGAGGATCTTAAGGACATTCGGCAGCTACGACTTTAAATTACAGCCTTTTCCAGATGAGCGACTGGACTCCAATCCAGTTTGTTCCACAGGAGTGAACAGCTATCCGTCTGCATCAAATATTCAAAGAATGGCCCCTGTATTCTGGCAGGATGACTGCTTCAATCTTCCTTCCTCACACTAATCTGCACTTTCTCATCAATTTTTTTTTTTTTTTGTGGTTTATCCTGTCGGCCTACCAACCTCAATCCTAGTCTTGCGACATTACTTTACATACAGGATAACGATGACTGAAATGACTGAAACTTAGAAAACTTCACAGGAAACGAAATGGAGGCAGTCGATCATGGTGCGTTGTCTCGCATCACATTGTTGCTTGCGGTCCGATGTTTCTCTCTGATCACCTGGACGAGCTGACAGGACGTGCCAGGGAAAATCCATCCGTCGACGAGGCCTTGTTTCCTGCATGCCTTCTGAAGGACACGAGCTGTCCACTTAGCGGAGAGGGAAATTGAACATCTCTTTTTCATGGAGGAAATAGAGAGCGAGCGAGTGTGTGTGAAATGGGACAGGTGTGTGTGTGTGTGTGTGCGCGAGTGTTTCTGGCTGCAGTGGTTGTGATGCGTTTAACCGAGAGCGGCTATGACAGCCAACAGATCTGAGAAGCAGAGGCGCGGTGACTAACGTCTGGATTGAGTGACTGACAGCGGCGAACATATCACCGCTTCTCATCTCCCGCATCTTCGGTGATAAATCTCATCTGTCCCATCTTAAAAGAGGAAGCGCCACTGAGTGCAGCACCTAGAAGTTGTAGTTAAAAATCAATACTAAAGACCAAAGTGATTTTCTACGTATATGCTGCTGTGCAGTTTGTGTCTTGCAGGCCTAATGGCTGCAGCCTACGAGAGGAAATGGCCTCCCTCTCGTCAGTTATCTGGACAGTTGACATATAGAGGTTAAAGCTTGCATGAGCAGATGAGTCTGGATCCATAGATTTACCTTCACCAAATACCACTGGAGTTCTAATATTAACTAAACCCTCTGCTATGTTATTATATCATGAAAGCAAAATTGGCAGTCTTGCAGGTTGAAACTTTGCGCGTCCCCTTGACCTGCTTTTGTGACCTCTGCCACATAGTACAGCCAAGGAAGACCAGGAGTGCTTCTAGCTTTGCACTCCTTCCGCATGAATGATGCGACACTCCACCTTTTCAAGTGCCGCGTCTCTTTAGCTCTCTCGCTTTCGGATGACAGCTTGCACTGGGATTTCTCCCGACCCCCCCCCCTCTTTGGTCCCTCCACATACAAATAATACATGGGCACAATCATATGTTAATGCACAAGATGTCTGCCTTCACTGCAAAGTCATCAAAGTGGGAGTAGCAGCTCTGAGCTGGAGGAAGTTAAGACAGGACAGCTGGATCCATCACAAGCCTGTCTATTTACTCAGAGAGAGAGAGAGGAGAGATGAAATTAGAGAAGGTGAGGGGAGGAAAAGACAAAGAACAAGAAGAGAAAGCTGGGTGAGAAAGGGAGTCTAGGAGCAGAAGGAAGTAAGTGATTCAAATGTATTCCAGTCTGCATTAGAAACCACACGCACAAGGTGGTGGTTTAATTAGCTGGTGTAATTATGGGTCAATACTTCTGTTTATCAGTCTGTTGGAGAAAAATGAGCCTATCGTTCGTTTCAGCAAATGGGCAAAAACAACTTATATTTACATTTTAAGGGACAAAGCCTCCAGCAGCGGTTGGAAATATGAGTCTTGTCCGTTGGGAGCAAAGGAGGAAGTCGGCTGATGTTACTGTAGAGCCACAAAGTCTGCAGAGGAAGGAGGTCGTGGTGGATGGATGGCTCAACAAAACATCAGACTCAAACGCTGGAGACTGCAGTTTGTTTCCTACAGACATTCAACGCTGATTTCTTTTAACAATGGCTGCGGCCGTTCCCTGGCATTAACCAACACAACACAACACAACACATGATGTTTCCCCAAAAAACGATTGCAAAAAAGGGGAAAATGCCGGCCAGAAATGAATGTTAAAAATTGTGGTCTTGGTTAAGTTTTTCAAAAACTGTGTACGTTTTTTTCTATATTTAACCAAAACCATTATCTTTCTCTGTCAAAAGTGTTTTTGAAACCCAAACTTTGTTGTGTCAAAGTTCTGTACTACGTAGCCCAGACCACTTCACTCTGGTGTCTGTGTGGCACAAAGATCAAAAATGTTGCCAGAGTAAATAATTCAGATGCCAATTATGTTTCCTCCAAAACATGTGAGGCAAAACCATTTTGTAGGCTACAGTAGGAGACAGAATTGGTGCATGTGTATTGTATGATCTATATGCCCACACTATGTTTTGCATTGATCAATGATCTGTATTTCTTATCGAATAGACGGATTAGTTGTCAGCTTATCTGTGTGTTTCTCTGTCCGTTCTCTGTGAAGTCATGTCAGCGCTGTGCATTTCATGACGCGAGGACTGCCTGTTTTAGACAGCAGAGACGCAGCAATTAGGAGAATAAATAATAAGAAAGATAAACAAACATCAAGGGGGAGTCATGTGGTGGCAGAGCCTGAGAAAGCAGCTGGAAGCAGCAGTTAATGGGGCTTTATCTGTCTCTTTACTGTAGTCGATGCCTATTCCTCTATTTCTCTCCGGGGACATTGCTATCACTCCCGCTTTCTTATTTTCGGTTTTGCACTCTCCTCCCACTATTTTTTCAAATGTTTTTAAACTTTTGCTCCAAAATTCCATCTACTGTAACCGTTCCAGTCCTCCAGTCTTTGCTCACGCTCTTCCTCCTTGTTTATCCATTTTATCCCCCATCTCTGTCTTTCGTTTCCCCTTCTGTCTGTCTCTGCATCCCTGACTCCTTTTAGATTTCTTTTTCTTTCTTTTCTTTTTTTTTTTTTGTTTACTACTGCCCATAGTACCAGTGCACTCTGTGGAGCGCATTGAGTAAATTGGGTTGTGGACTTGTGTCTGAGCGGAGTAGGTGGAGGAGAAAATAGGCGGGCATAGACGATGCGGGGAGGGGGGCTGAGCAGTCAGTTCAGCAGGGAGTAGGGCAGCTGTGTCAGAGCGCTGACAGTCTGCCTGCCTCCCCGACCACAGCGGTGAGACTCGGAGGAGGAGCAGGAGGAGGGTCCGCATTGACGTGCTCTAACCTGCGATGACAGACCGCATCGATGCGGCTCTGACCCAGCAGGAGACCGCCCTCTTCTTCTACTCTGTGTTCGATCAGCCGTCACTGAGAAGGCCCACTCGCTATTTGCAGCAACTCCCTCCCCTGATACCGCCACCGGCTACGCTACCTGCTGGAGTCACAGTAGAGTGAGAGCCTAATGGGCAATGAGTGTCAGGGCTTTTGTTGGAGACTTAACATCCAAACCAGGGCTGACTCATGACCTGGAGGTCCATGTGCAAATGCAAGGCGATGAATGAAATAGCAGGAAAATGGACAGGAAATGAGAATACAACACAATAGCCCTACACTTAGCCGCACTTTTGTAAAGTGTATAATATCTGATTTTTGTTCAACAGAGGACATGAAGTCTGCCATTTTGGTCAACTAAAAATGTCTTATTCAGCGTTCGGTGGTACTTAGCTCTCCCCTTTCCTGTCACGTCTTGTTGCAATTAACCAAGATGGCAACGGCCAAAAACCAAGATGGCGACGGCCAATATGCCAAATTTGAAGCACCAAAACCGTAGTCCA